AATTTTTCCTTAAAAAAAAAAAAAAACTTTTAGTTAAGCCAACAAATTCTTTGTTCAACTGTTTTATCATAATTTGTTAAAGTAAAAATAACCTTTTTTTATCATTTAGATCATTGTCATATTTATGAGGTCAACTGATATGATTGACCTTATTTTATTAACATTATTTACTTACTTAATATATTAATAGATAGGTTATATTTTTAAGGTTAAATAAGTATTATGCAATATTTTTGGGATTAAACAATGTTATTGACCTTAGTTTATTGCATTTATAAGCTATATTTGTATGGTAAACCAACATCATTTATTTATTTGTCATCCATATTTATGGGGTCAAATAAACATTGTCATCATACTTTTAGGGCTAAATAATATGATTGACCTTACAGTATTGTACTTATAAGTTATATTTGTAGAATAAAGTAACATCATTTACTTACCTATTACATTTGTAGTCCATATTTGTAAGGTTAAAATAAATGACATTGGCTTTATTCAATCAAATAATAAATTCAACGTTAGCTTTAATTTATATTAATTTATAATCCTTTCTACAAATTAGGCTAATTTACTTAATTGCATTGTTTTTCTTATGTTTTTATTATATTTCGTAGTTTTTTTATTTCTTTTTTGTGTTTTTTTTTATTACATTTAACAAATTTAATTGAAAAATTAAAAAAAATTTTTCAAAAGTGGAAAAAAAGAATATTTTTCCAAAAAAAAAAGGAAAAATGTTCAAAAAAAAAATGAACTTTTTTTTTTAGAAAAGATCGCTTTTTCACTTGCAAAAAAAAAAAATGAAAATATTTTGAAGAGGGAAAAAAAAAGTTCCAGAAAATTTTGAATTCTCAAAAAAAAAAAATGAAAAAATTGGAGCGTAATTTAATATTTTTTTTTTCATATTCATTTTTATATCAATTTTAATAACTCTTTTAACAGCGACAAAAAAAAGAAAAAGGAGTGAATTTAACAAATGCATCAAATAATTTTAATTTGTGAAAAGAAAAAAAATTTAAAAAAAAAAAAAACAAACAAACATTTCATAAATTTATTTGTCATTTTTGCATACATGAAATAATGTCAAATTTTATTTAAATTTATTGAAAATATTTCGCAATTTGTAGGAAAACTTTTCCGGATATATTTTGTAAATAAAATGTAAATTTAAAATTAATTGATGCTTGAATGAAACATCAATAAATGTATTATATAACCATCATCCAATCATACTTCACAATTAAATCAAAAATTTTCAACAAATATTGTGACAATGCAACGACAACAATTTATCCATCGATTAAAAATTACCAAAATAAACAATTTTGAAATAAATCACACATTTTATTTTTTAATTTATTTGTTTATTTAAATCTGTTACAAAAATTTAAATATTTCTATATTTATTTAACAATTTTGTCGAATTATTTTATGGGAAAAAAGAAAAGAAATAAAACAGAAAACGTAAATTGCATGGAATTGATAAATTTTGCATGCATAAAATAATTTTAATTTACAAATTTAAATATAATTCCAATTTGTTTACTAATTTATTACAACTCATTTAATTTGTAATTTTCATCCTCCGTCAAAATTTATTTATTTAAAGTAACAACCCATTTAGCACTTTTTTTTTTAAAGTGTAAATAACAAAAATGTATTAAATTTTTGGAATAGCACAAAATGTGATTTTCCTTTTTTTGGAAAAGCGCAAAATGTGATTTTCCTTTTTTTGGAAAAAGCGCAAATTGCGATTTTTCTTTTTTTGGAAAAGCGCAAAATGTGTTATTGCTTGCTTACTTTATTTACAGTATCTGTTTATCAATTTTCTTTACAAATAAAGCATATGATAACCCAAAAAGGTTTGTTATTAAAATGAAAATTTTCAGATTTTTAATTTATCGAAAAAACGTAGTGATCTTGGCCGTTTGCATTCAGTTGTTGAAGTTGGCTGGCCAGAAGAATTAGCTCCACCACTTGATCGACTTTGCTCAATATGCAAATTACTCGAGAATTGGTTATCTGCAAATGCGCAAAATGTCGTTGTTATCCATTGTAAAGGAGGATGTTCACGTGCAGCTATTGTCATTGCTGCATATATGCATTATATTACCATATGTTCCAAGTCAGTAAATTTTATTCAAATTAGATTGAGAAAAGGAAGCAATTCATATAAAAGGCTTAATTAGCATTTTTACATTTCATACAATTATTGTTTAATTGTATTACTAGATCATATTAATTGAAATGAAATGAATTGAATTGAAAACTTAGAAATTTGTAAAGAATGGAATGAATGACTTTTTTAAAATTGGAATTGAAATGTAACGAAATGAATGACTTTTCAAAACCGAAATTAAAACCAAATTAAAAGGTTAAAGTGGATATCGACAATTTGCAAATGAATGAAGTAAATAACTTTTTAAAATTTGGAAATGTTCATTATTATTATTATCATTATTATTATTATTATTATTATTATTATTATTATTATTATTATTATTATTATTATTATTATTATTATTATTATTATTATTATTATTATTATTATTATTATTATTATTATTATTATTATTATTATTATTATTATTATTATTATTATTATTATTATTATTATTA